TCAAGGCAGTCCTGTTTCCTGCTTCCTTGAAGCTTGGTTCTTCAGCTCCTCTGTTGATTCTGAGGTACTCTGGTATCCTGACTACTGAAATATACATTGGTAGAAGTAATTAACAAAATGTATACTTAGAATGCTATTTAAATACAATTTTTTTGGATTTATAATACTATTTTTAACTTGCTTTTTTCACATAACGATCCATTGGGACATTACTCACCAAAGAACTGCATCATCATTTCTAACAGCTGCACAGTCTTGTTTGATAAATCGATATTTCACATTTTGGTATTTCCAGTTTTTAAACATTACAAACAAGAGTGTGATGAACACTAAAGACGTGCTAATAAGAATGAACTTTCCCAGAAGCTTCTAGCAACCTTCTCTTAGAGCCTCTTTGGTCAGAATTGGGTCATAGGCCAGTTCCGGATTTAAATCACTGGTACAGGGGAAGGAGCTGGGAGAAGTGGCCTGTCTGCGCTCATTCCCTGAGGTGGGCTGATTCGCATGCGCTTGGAGACAGAGGGACGGAGGGTGGAGAGGGCTGCATTCCTGAATGAAAGGAAGAAGGGGGTCAGGTGTCCACTGCAATAGTTTGGAACATTTCTAGGTGTTTAAAACATAATAAATGTACTAATTTTGGACCCTAAAAGCAATGTTTAAGCGTGCTAGTTGCTCTACACCCTTGCAAACCAGGGCTACCATAATTATTTTAATCTTTTTCATCTGTTGATAGACCTGGTCGTAATATTTGATATATTTTATCCATAGGTCATAAGAAAATATCTTTAAGATGTTTTACAACTCATTTAATGACATTAAAACATTCTATTAAGAGATATAACAAAATGACAGGAAAATTGCTATAATCTATATCCTATAAATTCCATAGCTACCTAAAATTATAGGTAGAGAAACATGAACTTCATCTCCATAAAGGCAGAATGAAATCACTTCTGCCACTTATCAAAACAAATGTGAGTTAGACTCTTAGATGCTTCATCAGAGTCCTGTGGATATCTCAGAAATAAAGAAGTAATCATTTCATTAAACAAGCAAACAAATTCTACAGTTATCTTTTAAATGCATAAGGCAGTTATACATTTTCAGTTTTTAGATTCATTAGCATTTATTAAGTGCTTATTAAAGGCTAGATATGGCATGGTAAGAGTTTAATAAAAGGAATATGGATAATTTACATTACAGATTAATCTCTTAAAGAACTATCAGTGCCATATTTTTGAGCATCAAATTCCTTACAAGAGTTTTAAGTTTGTGCCATTAGAACTTTATTCTTTTTGTGTTTTTAAATATATTCATGTAACAAATATTAAACTCTATTTGGCACATAGTACATTTTTGAGTGAAGCTCTTATCAGTAGTGAACAGGCCACAAAAGAATACATTTACAATCATCAAAGGTTTCACTGTAGTGCTTGACTTCCTTTTAATATTTGAGAGGAGATGTTTATCATTTAAAGGCCTGACTTGCCTCACAGGGAATTTTGTTCAAGAATCATATTCTTGGGACTAAAAAGAATTCAGTGCACTATTTATTCCTGCACAGATGACAACACATTTGAACTTGTAGAGAAATGCTATTTAAACATTATGACCTTCATTTTATTAGGTGCTCAAGTTTACACTGCACATGTGACGGATTCAAAAATATACGGAGCATAAACCCACAAATAGTATTTTGGGGTCAAAGCCACCTCCAGACCGGAGTTATCTGGGGTTCAAAATATACAAAGCAGCTTTGCAAAGGAGTCTGAAACTATAAATGCTGATAGCAGTTTAAAAAAAAAACAGTATTAGGAAAGAAAATACAATCCACATCTTGGTAGGAATAAAATGTGTTGGGCTAAGTACAACAAAACAAATGGTCACTTGTAGCTGACCTGCTTTTGAAAAGACTGGAAGCTGTATGAGAAAAGTTATGAAGAAAGTCAGTCTAAGACAAAGTTAAGTTTCCAGAATTCAATACTTTTGGGATACTTACGTATGTTACTAATCCATAGTAGGCTGATGCCCCATGGGTACTGGCTGGCTGGCAGAATCAGCTGATGCACTACGCGAGGCCCAGGTGCTTCTGCTTACACTCACATTCAGTCCAAGCACACGCAGTGCTCATGTGCTCAGCCGTGCCCTTGCCACTTCCATCTTTGGGTGAAAGTAAATAGCAAGTAGGATCTGACTGAGTTATGACTGGAAGGGTCAATAAATGAAACATTCTGTATGAAGTCCCTGGCAAATAGAACCCAATAAATATTAGCTTTTTCAAAATTCTGTACTTGCATTGGATGGAACCCAGAAATACCAGTGAAATCTGTGGTTGCTTCCAACCTGGGGGGCCCTGTCTGCAATCTCGTTATTCAGACCTCTGCAGGGATAATGTTGTCCTGTGTTCTGGTTCACAGGATAAAGATAAAATTGCGCTAACTGAAATTTTGCCACGCTCCCTTTGTAGTGTCCTGGGTTCACTTTGAAATTAGCAATCTTGGGTAGACTTCCTGATGTTTTTATCAGACTTGCCAAGTACCTATTCTCCCACTCGCCTTTAGTGGGGGAAGAAAGGGAAGAGGGGAGTGGGCATACTGCTATTTACCAAAATGAATGGGATGAATGACAATGTCCTGCTGGATAAATATCTTAGGTAAATTTGTAACAGAAGCAAAAGCACAGACACTGTGTCCTCATAAATGTGAACACAAAGGTCTGCGGACAGCGTGGAAAGCCCTAGGTTAGCCACTTTACAGAGACTCTACTCCCAAAACTAGGGAGTTTCTTTTTCTTCCAGGGGTCATTGACCCACAGGGGAAAAAAGAAGAATAAAGGGTCACAGAAGAAGGTAAAAAGAATTTAATTTAGTTATCACTGGATTATTTTTAAGAGTCACAGTAAAAAGCGAAACTTAGCTGATTTAAAATTTAAGAATAGGATAACACAAAACTTTATGCGATGTGTCCAATGGGAATATTTCAAATTCTCCTTCAGTTCCAGTATGGCCAATAACGGGGTGGGGAAAAGGAATGGAAAAACAAAAAGGACAAGGAAAGAAACTTAGATGGAGAGAAAGAGGAAGAGACTGAGACCAACAGAGAACCAACAAAAAACATACACCAACACTGGGGAGAGGCTGACCGGATCACTTTTGTTTTATTTTAAACCTATTTTGTAACACACTGTCACAACTCTTCATCTGTTGCTGTGGTATTCAGAAATAACACTTTTCACTGCTACTGTTTAACAAAGGCTGTTCTTCACAATTTATCACCTCTCTTTATCCTTGAGATTCTTACTGGGCCTTCCACTATTCAATAGAACTTTCTTCGATGCTGAAGGTGTTACATATACATGTGCTGTCTTATGCGGTAGCGACAGGTGACTACTGAGCGCTTGAAATGTGGCCAGTGCAATACAGGAATGGAATTTTAAATTTTATTTCATTATAATTAAATAGTCACATGTGGCTATCTTCTTGGACAGTGCAGGTCTAAGGGACATTTACAGTGGAAGGAAAATTGGTCTCAAGGCCAATGTAGAGATGAATAGCATAGATGAAATTAAACCACAAAATGAATTACAGCCTTTCAGCTGGATCTTCTCCTATCCTTAAAGTGTTTCCTTATCATATAAAGTACTCAGTAAATATTATTATTGCTAATAATCATATTATTAGCCAAACTAGCTTCAGAACAGAGTGATCTTGCTTTAGGTGTGCAATTCCTGTTCCAGATAAAGCACTCAATGGATCTGGATGAACTGGTTTTTTGTGTCCTATATTGTTATAAAAATGAGAACAGTTCTACCTTCGTTGTCCCTCAAAGATTAACATGCTGAGGATGAACAGCCCTGAAAACTTTGCGCTTCTCACTAAAAACACTGCACTTGACTACTTCATTGGCTGTCCTCTGCAACCCTTAAGCCTCTGTCCATTCCTCTAATCATTGTTTACCTTTCCAGATGAAGAAAAATGCACTCTTTGAGGGGGTGGAAACAGAAAGTTGCTGGTAGGCATTGGGGCAAAACTATCAGTTAGGTTAAGTGCACAGGGTACAGCTATCCCCAAAGCTTTTAGTGCTTTGAGGAACAAAGCTTTTAGGTGTTCAGTACTCATGCTGTCATTTTCATTAATAGCTATCAACCAGCAGTTTGACTGTGTTCCAGCACTGCTCTGCATCAATCCATCACTTCTTTATTCTACAGGTTTAAATTATTTCCTTTGTATTTACTTAACCTTACTTCATTCAATAGTAGCAGTTCTCTTTCCTTGCTAGTGAGCTGTGAAATGTTTTGTTCCTTGGAAGAGCTGCATTTTCGACCTCAAATAATCCTCAAAAAGGAGATATCTGGGCTATGAATGAGTCACTTGCAAATCATACCAATGGCTGCCCCTGCCTGGGGTAGTCACAGAGCATCACCCACCTTGGGATGCAGTGCTTGTGGCGTAGTACGTCATCAATAAATATCTGCTTTATGAATGAAGGAAAGCTAGTCACGTGTAAGGGTGGGAAGCCTTCTATAAATAAACAAATTGTGGACAAGCTATCTCAAGGTACCTTTTTAACTAAGTCCTCCATCTTGACTACTTTTGGACTAGCATGAAAATTTTACCAACGCCTTCCCAATTAATTTGCCCTGGCTGGAATGACCGAGAGCAGAGCTCCCCTTTACAGCATGGCCTCTACCGGCATCTCTCCTCTTCGCGCTCAAGAAGAGTAACTGCCCACTGCTGCGTGCGGCACACTGGCCTACAGCCAGTACAGACGGTAGACGGACTTCGGCCTCCACCCCAGGCAGCATTTCCCTCCCACCCGCCGCAGGCCTGAGGACGTCTCCCTACACCCAGCAGTCGCTACCACGACTCCAGCACGCCCTCCCCGCCTCGCCTCCGTGCCCCTTCCCCCGTCTCCCAGCACCCCGCGTAGGACGGACCCTTCCCTCCGACGCCCGCCACAAGCTTTTCCGCTTCGGCCCGGCGAGCGAGGTCGCGGGTCCGACTTCCGCGTCGGCGAGTGGCGTGGGCTGTGACGTCACTGCGCCCTGACGTCAGGCCTACGTGCGGCACGGTCTCCCGGGAGACCGGGGAAGCCGTTTCGCCCCCGGCGGAGTCGAAGCCTAGGTGAGACAGTGAATGGCTTCCGTGGGCCCCGGATGACCCGGTCCCCCGAGGCGCGGTGGCGGCGCGGAGGCGAGAGGTCCGGACAGCTGAGCCGGCGCCGCGCCCCTGCCCGTCCCCGAGCGCGCGCGGCCCGGCGCCCTCCTCTTCCCGGAGCGCGCGGCTCGGGCACCCCGCACCCTGCCTCCTCCTGCCCCGCGGGTCTCAAGGGGACGGGTTAGAGGGGGGCAGCTTTGAAAACCCTCCCGGCAGTTCTGTCTGGCCGTGCAGTTGGCTTCCATCTGGAAGATCCTGCCGCTTCCGGAAAGCCTCAGGACGTGCGCTTCCGCGCTCCCCTGACCCTGACCGGCTGGCCGTGGGTGACTCACGCCAGGGCCGCTGTTCTCGGAAGGGCCTGGGCGCCGAGCGTGAGTGAGTGGCCCGGCGTGACTCTGGTGTGCGGAAGGGCATCGGAAGTTAACAATCAGGGACGTGCCTGTGTTTCTCACACCTCGTCCTCGTGATGCTGTTAGCAGGTTCACAAATACCTGCTCAGCTGCTGCCACTTGTCACGACACCTCCTGCCGAAGGGCGCTGTACACGTGGTAATGTGACAGAAGAAAAGGGACTCATTTGATAAAACACGGAAAGTAATATAAGGGAAATTAAAAATTAATTTTTTTCCTGTTGCCAAAAGGGAAAAAGATCTTTCCCCGCCCTTTCTTGAGAAAGCTCATCATTGTGAATGCTTCCCCTATTCCTTTGATATGTATGCAAATCTTTTAAAAGACCTAGAATGTATTTCCTGGAGGACCTGAGAGCCGTTTCTTTAAAATGCGAACGGCAATGAAGACAGCGCCCGTCTCTCCATATCACTGGAGGTTGAGCCTAAGCGCCTCACTTCCAGTAGCCAAGTGCTTTGTCGTTGAGCTATGTATTCTTTAGAACAAACGCAATTAGCTAGCACAAATGGCTACTTAGATTACCAGGTGAATTTAAAACGAACCGTGAGTGTATAGCAAGCTGTGTTGAGAACAAGTTGCCAATTATCTTGAGAAAATATATGTAATAGATTGTATCTGCGTGGCTGTATAAAGACTGGGATCTCTTTCTTTGTAATCTCATTAGCCAATTGGCTGTAATGTGCATCACAATCAAGTTAAATGCTTATTCTATAATAAAACTATTTTCTTTCTGCATTGTGGAGAGATTTTTCTGGGTTGGCAGGATATTTTATTTTTAATTTTTCCTCAATAATCGGAACCTGCCAGTTCTTCCTCTTTGGTATAGTAAGGCCACAAGTTGGAATAGGTTTATAGACAGTGAAGATAGTAAATAAAAACTCCTCCGCTGGTGCCTTGTTTATATTGCCACTAGATCCATGCTCCCAAGTAATTTTATGGATGCAATTTTAAAAGGAGATTTAGTTGGTAATTTAGGAAAAATTCTACTCCCAATAGGGTTTAATTAAGATGATGCTATCTTATTTTACTGATGGTGAGTCCATTGTAAAATGGCAGAAATGAGAATAATGAGCCTTCTGTGAATAATGAGCTCTTGCCACATCACCATGACAGTCTGCCAAACAGCAGGTTATTATGTACTTGACCGTGTGGGCCTGTGTTAACTGTGCTAGTTAACTTTACCGAACACACACACACCACACTGTGTTATGTTTATATGGGAAGACAGCTCATTAGTTATTTGTTTTAAACATCAGCTCGTTAAAACAAGAGGCACTGTGCTAACAAGATGGGGAACCCTCTCTTCCACCAGTGGTTGCACAGTTGAAAAACATACTGCCACTACAGGAATTTTTGTCAACTACAGTTTCCCTGCCACCTTGCCAAGGCTGAGGTTGCCGTTTTGGATACAGCTCTATGCCTCTCGAGGCTCTCTTTGTCAAAATCCTGCCCTGATCAGAAGTAAACAACCTCAGGAAGCCTTCACTAATTCCCCACTCCCATCAGAAAGATAAGGCATTTTTCCTTCCTGAACTCCTAGATTGTTTGTGGCCCCCAGGCCTTCTCCTTGCTGTGGAACTCTGCCTGTGTCATCTTACTGTGCTGCCTGCCTTTCACCCCTTGCTCCTTAGATATATATAAATGACTCTCACCCATGAAGCTGGGCTGTCTGTTCTTTCTCATGTTTGGGAAAGAGTTAAAAAAACAAAAAGGATTCCAAATGCTCCTCTATTCATCTTGTGTGGTTTTATGAAAGTAGTGATAGAGTTTTATATTGAAGTGTTTTATCAGAAAATGAAAATCTATTAAAAGTGAAATATCTGCATAAAAGTTATGTAAATGTCCGTCTTAGGTAAAATTGATGCTTGGCTTCTCAGGCCATGACAACTCTTTCGTTCAGTGCCTGCATATCATATTTAATCTGATAACTAAATATTTTTTTCTGTAGTTCATCATTTAAACCAACATTCATGTCACAATTGTTTTCCTTCTCTGCTTAACTAAAAGAGTATATTTAGGTATTTTTCTAGAAGCTTTTCAGAAAAACTTGTCTTTTTAAAATAATTGAAATAAATGGGTGTTTAAAATTTTAAGTGATCTTTATTCCATATTTGCAAAACAAATCATTAGTAGTAAACCACTATAGAAATTACAATTAGACTGTAAAGTTCTGAAGAAAGGAAATATCATTTCTAAGTCAGTGGTCTCTCTCTGTGCATCCTTCCTGTTCTGTTGGCCTAACAGCTGAGAAAATTCCAGGTGTACCTTTTAACATTGAGTTGATGAAACAAGCATTTGTTGAAAGAGTTATCACTATTCATCCCCAAGTATTCCCAGGATTTTATATCTTTTAATTTGAATTTTCTTCAAATTACTTCAGTTCTGACTATTTCCATCAATGTTTTTAGATTATTTTACTCCAGAGCTCCCTCAGTATATTTGGGGAAATTATGGATCGTCACATTCCCATGCATGCATTACCCGAAGAAATCCAAAAGGTATGATACTATATTGTGTTACTACAGCAAAACATTAGCAGGATCTTAACAGACCCCTCTAAAACCTGGGGGAGTAAATTCAGAGGTTTTGTATTTATTTTGGTCAGGGGATCTGCAGTGGGTTGGTGGAGCTGGGAAGAGAATAATCATAATGGTTAGAACTGTAGAATTCAATTCAGTGCAAAGAAGGTTTGACCCATGAAAGAAGACAGATATAATCATTCCAGCACAGTATTGACCAGGTGTTTGTGTAGCACTTACGAGAAGAGGGCCCCAGGAAATGTCCAAATATTATATTTACGTATTTTTCTAGCAGCTTTTCAGAAAAAAACTTTTTTTAAACTGAAATAAATGGGTCTGTTTAGAATTTTCAGTCATCCTTATTCTGTATTTGCAAAACAAATAATTAGTAGTAAATCACTACAGAAATTACAGTTAGTTTGTAACTTTATGTGATGTAAATTTTCAAGTCTCTCTCTCTGTAGGAGTCTGTTTCAGTTTCACCTTAATTCTTGCCACTTACTGTGCACCAGGCACTGTTTTGAGCCCTTTCACATATATCCACTCATTTAATCTGGTTAACAAGCAATTCTTCACAGTTTCTATGCTGCTCTGCTTCCTGTTAGTTCATATCTGTCTGCAGGCGAAACGTTTCTCCTGTGTTTAGTTTGGCAATGCTTACACTGTTAACAGTGTAATTTAAAAAATACTTCTTTGAGGGGCCGGCCCTACGGCGAGTGGTTAAGTTCACGCCCTCCACTTTGGCAGCACAGGGTTTCTCTGGTTTGGATCCTGGGCACAGATGTGGCACTGCTTATCAGACCATGTTGAGGCGGCGTCCCACACAGCACAACCAGAAGGACCTACAACTAGAATATACAACTATGTCCTGGGAGGCTTTGGGGAGAAGAAGAAGGAAAAAAAAATGATTGGCAACAGATGTTAGCTCAGGTGCCAATCTTAAAAATAAAATCTCTTTGAAACTGATTGAAAAATTGTGAATTAAAACCTCAAACCTCAGCTATCATTAGTCATTTAGGCTCTTCACTATATCGACAGTCAACTCTTACTAACCACCAATCTGTTACTTTTTAATTAAATATTTCAGTCAACTCTCAGATATGCTTTTATCCTCTGTGCGTCTTCTTTTGGGCTGCCTATTAGCATTAATCATGCCATTGATTGAACTTGATGCTTACTGTTACTGTATATTCTTCAAATTTATGTAAACTGCAACCTAGTAGGAACTGGAGGGAAGTTCAGTTACCAGAAAGAAACCATTGGGTTCAATTCGCTTTACTTTTTAAGTTAGGCGTAAGAGATGGTAAGCACAGAGAGAGCTCTGCTGTGCTCTGCTTACCTGAGAAGTGGTGCTTGTCTGTGTCTGAAGACATGGAGCATCCTCCTTCTCTCCCTCACCTGAGTTCCTTTCATATACTAGCCTCATGTGGTGGAGATTAGAAGAAGAAAACCATCTGCAAGACAATCCTCTTACTTCAGACCCCAAACCTCTGTAGGGAAGAGAATGTATTGTGGCATGAAAAAATAACTCTGAAAAACAGTGTGTGATTTAAATGTCATATGAGATGGTCTTTTCTCTGAGAATGGAGAAGGTAAGGAGAGGAATCCCTGAGTATTGGGATGGTCAGTGGAGGAGCTTTATGCATGAGATAGAACTGGAATTGGCCCTTGAAGGGTGAGTGTTTCTGTAGACAACCAGGGAACAGAGCATCCTAGGCCAAGGGAACAGAAGTTCACTGGTGAGAAAAAGCTGGCCAACTTAGAGAATGTTTAACAATGTAAATGTTTTGAATACATGAAAGAGTATGTATGTATCTTGACAAGGTTTTTATGAGAGTTGTAGAATGTTTTTTCTCATGTTTAAGGTACTTTATAAGTAAATTGTTTAAAAAGGCTAAAACCAAGCATTTCATAAATGTACAGTTATATTCTCAAAGCAGGAGTGTCAGGCAGCTGTCCATACACTGCAGAGAAGCGAGGAAGCCAGGAGAGGCTGGTGCGGCCTGCAGCCCTCGTCCTGCCGAATGTTTAGATGTAAAGTGCAGCTGTGCACTTGCTCAGACCCACGGTATATACATTTATACAGCAAATATTTATTGAGTGTCTGTTACGTGCCAGACACGGTTCTGGGTACTTGATTATAAAACAACCAAAATGTGTACGTGCTACTTGCATCCCGCAGCCTGTTACAGCGCAGTCTGAGAACAAGTCAGTTACTTGTTTTCCATAACTTCTTACCTGTGTTTGATTATTCTAGATTGTCCCCAGTGTAAACTTGGAGTTGCCTAGTGATCAGGCAGTATATCTATTTAGTCAGCTTGCATACATCATTCTATACAGAATCGTGTTAGATAGATAGATAGCTTATAATGGCAATAGGAGTACTTCAGATTAGAACCATTTCATTATTAAGATGAAGAAAACAAATCTTTTTTTTTTCATAATGGCTTGGAAATTGTGCTCCATTTCTTTATTGGATAAAAAAGGACATGAGGGGGATGGATCAGTGTATAGTGACAGAGAGGTCTTTCAAAGGCTTTTTGCTGCTTCTTCTAACTTTTCGTTAGTTTCTATGCTGGCTCTTCTTTCTAGAGAAACCCCTGTTGTGTTTCCTTTTTTCTTCTGTGTGTAGGCCAGGCAGTTAGTGTAGAAAGCAAGGAAGAGAAGGGAAGGGGAGCCTTTCCTCTTTATTTCTTTCCGTACTTTTGCCGTGTGATATGGAAATGGGATGGTTGATAAATTACATGATAGATAATGTGATAAAGAATGTGGAAATGACTGTAGTACACTGTACTATTAATAGCAAAATAGGTAATAGTAGAAAGAATTGCAAGAAAAAGTAAAGGTGGTGGGCGAGATGGCACCAAAGGGAAAGTGTGGAGAAGAATGCTGATGATAATAAGCTATAGTCAGAGAATCGTTGCCTAATCAGAAGGCTAAGATTGTTAAATCTTCTGCCCCAGGTCTCATCTTCTTAGGAATCTTAGGGAAGAAAGGATGAGATAATCTTTTCACTCCCATTCCTAGATCTTTTGGCTTTTTATCACAATTTCTGACTGAGCATAAAATCCATGTCAGACTTCCATCTCCCCAAGTGGCAGAAAATGTACAACAGGCCCATGGGCTGGACAGCAAGACCACGCTCATCCCCTTTGTCTGCTGCTAGACTCTACAGTGTACTTCTGTAGGCACTCAGACCGTGTCCCTAAGTCTGCTCTCTCTCTAGACTGAGCTGCCTCCTACCTGTCTCTGACCTCCAATAAGCAACAGCTTTGCTAGAATTTTCATCCAGCATTCTGAAAGCAGAATGCGCTTGTAATGATAGTACAGTTCTGTGTTTAGGATTTTATTGCCAAAATTTAAAACTAAAACAACACTTACAGATCAGCAAAGTAATAATTCTATATCTCTTCCCCTCCTGAATGTCAACCCGTTTTAGAGACATATGGGGTCCTCTTTTAGAAAAAAACAATGAGCAGCTTTCTTCTTGCTGTTTTTGCTAGGGAACATACGCAGAAGTCAAAACACTGCAACAAACTAGTGGAAAAATCAGTTATTTTGCAAAAGTAAAACTGATCTCTTGTTTTTGTAAATGGTGACAAAATGAACACTTGTAATAGGATTTTAGCTTCAGGAGATATTTATTACCACAGGACACAAACTAAAATAAAGAGACCGGAGTTGTTTATTTTACAAAACAGAAGCGGCAGTGCAAGGGCTGGAGAGCACGGTGTTCTTTCTGGGATAACAATCCCTTTCCCCAGCAGTAACAGCTCATTTTGTCCTGTTTCAGCAAAGTAATTTTAGTACTTTGGAACTTTGAAATTTATTCAGAATAACAGTTTTATATTTCCAAGCACAAGTTGTCATTGCCAGAAAAAATAAACTTAATTTTCCAGGTCATTTTGGGCCACTGTGGCTAGGGTCAGATTTTGTGTTGAGTTAAAGTAGAGGAAAAGAAAGAGCAAATGGTCATGGAAATGTTAGCACTAGCATCCTAGAGAAGACGTAGTGTGTGTGTGTGGGTGCAGGGGTGTGTGTTGTGTTTTTAAGCAATTGCAGTTTTAAAACCTAACGATGCAAGAAAGAAGAAGCTGTGTAATTTTTGGGGAGACCAATCACTTAATATTATTACCCAAGAAATTCATTAGGAAGAAGTTTTTAAAAAAAATATTACTAGGAATCTTGAAAAGTCTGCGTTTGTCACTTTGTAGTCCAAAATACTTTTCCTAGCTGGCCATAGGAGGTCATAGAGTTTACTGAGGTGAGGTCCCCCAGTGGAAAAATAGGTATTGGAGGAAACAGACTTTGGAAGCATATTTAGATGATATGAGCGTGTCATGTATAATTTATGTATGAAGCCAACGTTTCTTGAAATTGCTCAATAAAATTTCTTTATGGATTAATTTCTGAGATTTTAGTCCCAGATTGATTTTTTTAAAAAATAATTTTTAAATTAAACTTCTGGGTTCCGACCCATGGCTAAGTGGTTAAGTTCGTGTGCTCTGCATCAACGACCCAGGACGACCCAGGGTTTCGCCACTTTGGATCCTCGCACTGCCGATCAAGCCAGGGTGAGGTGGTGTCCACACAGCACAACCAGAAGGACCTACAAGTAGAATATGCAACTATGTACTGGGGGGCTTTGGGGAGAAGAAGGAAAAAAAAGAAGATTGGCAACAGATGTTAGCTCAGGTGCCAATCTTTAAAAAGTAAATAAAATAAACTTCTTATTTTGAGATCATTGTAGATTTACATGCAGTTGCAAGAAATGATAGATACCAAGAAATCCCATGTACCCTTCCCCTAGCTTTCCCCAGTGGTAGCATCTGCTGAAATTGTACTACAATACTGCAACCAGGATGTTGACATTGATACAGTCAAGATATAGTACAGTTCTGCCACAACAAGGGTTCCTGCCGTGCCCTGTTATAGCGTCATTCACCTCAGCCTCCCCCTTCCCCCACCCACCACCCCAT